ACCTTCATAGCATAAATAGGATTAGCTTTCACTAGTCCTTAGTTTTAATCATCCTCTTTGAAGATGATCACTTGGTGATCGAAACACGTGTCCAGGTGTTAAAAATAACGATTTGGTGTTGGGAAAAAACTCCAGTAATATTCATTACTACACCAAAGGTTCCAAACAGTGCATCATAAGAACATGATCTTGTGTCTAATTATAATTCAAAACACATTTGATTACGTACCTTCTGGCAGTGCCTTCAAATTAGCTTGTTGTAATTCCGAGTGCCTTGCCCAAATTATTTTACCGCCACTGGCATCCATACTAACTGCCGGTTCTTCTCTTCCAACTTTCACTAATATACTACCTTCGTCATACCCCAGAGACACATTATTCGAACCCTTCAAGCAACAAATGGTCCACACTCTCTCGAACCCATAATTCAAACAATTCTCTAATCTGTGTGTATTCGTATGCCAAACTCTAACGGTACCATCTTCGCTGCCTGTGAGAGCCACTGGTAGTTCAGGGTGGAAACAAACCGCGGTTACGTTTTGGGCGTGTCCCTCCAAGGTTTGGACACACGTTTTGTTTTGATAGTCCCAGATTTTAACCAACCGATCGTCTGCTCCCGATATCAAGTATGGCTTGTCTCCACCGTGATAGTAGTCCACACAGTTGACACCTTTCTCGTGCCCTTCAAGGGTGAAGTTCGCTGTTGATGCTCCAAGTTGCCACACTTTCAAAGTACGGTCCAGTGAAGCACTCGCAAATGTGTTATTGTCTTTTGGATTGATGGCGATTTGCATGATATAATGAGAGTGGCCTTCAAAGACCTGCTGACAAGCCCAAGCCTTATCCCAATTCCACAATTTGATGAGCATGTCATCTGAAAAACAAGAAGCAATTAACATACGTTATTTACTTATTTATTTACGGAATGTCCATAACAGAATAGGAAATGTTCCTCCTGACGAAAATCAAGTAGTTTTCATGAAAGAGCTCTAAAACAACGCATTTTAAACTTATCATTTCTACCTTTTTCTTTAAAAAATTATTTAAATACTTAAAAAAGAGGACTGAACTAATGCATTCAACATTTAAAGGGATTCGTTTCTATTTCACCATTTGGCAACATCGGTTATAGCTAATAAAGGACAATGAATCTGTTACCTGTATGAGACAAACAAAGAT